TATCCGAACGTCTGCGGTCCCTCCGGTGAGTACCGATCGCACAAGGATAGAAATTATTTTCATTTATTAATTTTTAATAAACGAAAATTTCTCCACCCAGGTGAGATTCGAACTCACGACCTTTAGGTTCAAAGGTAGGCGCTCTTACCACTGAGCCACAGAGGGGGTTAAATTTTATTTAAAATTGATTTCATACGCGTACTGGACATTGAAAATCACCGGTCGCTTCAAGCGTTGTACAATTTTTATTTGAAACATACAGATTCTTTTGGTAATCCGATTTTTTTCGTCCCCCCCCCCCACGGTGAGGTTTTAGGGGGAAGTCTTGGGGTAAAATGGTAAACTTTTTTGCATCTTTTTTGGGGTACTAAAATTTAATTCTTAGGGTGCCTGTCCGTTCCGAACGTTGGCTATGATTCTGGCTATGATGACTTTATTGTTTGCAATACAGAATAGCTGTGTTGAGGTCTTTCTATACCATGCTCTCAGGTTAGCAAGCCAGGATATTCTTCTTCGTCCTGGGGCCCTTTTTCCTTTAATTTTACCTTGGAAGATGCATTGGAGTAGCTCGTATCTGCCTTGATTTCTCAGCAAAAATTAAATTCTAAAATTTACATTCTCAGCAAAATTCAGCTAGTTTGTATGATTGATGAATGATGAATGGAAATGTCAAGTACTTCAATTTCATAGCCTACTCTAATTAGTATTTCCTTAATTTTTCGATATATATTTAAATAAATTAGATGTTATTTAACTATTTATTATGTTATTTAAGTTACATGCAGCAATTTTTTTAGTAAATTATTGTTAAATAAGATTATTATTTATTTATTTATTTATTCCACAACAAACACATTTTACAAAATAAAATGTAATTACAAGTAGGGATTTTGACATTAGATATACCTACAAGCTAAGATAAAATGATTAAAGCGGATAAAAAGCTAGATTTAATTGCTTTGATGTTGGTGTTGAAGATATCTATGTCGCTATTTTTTTTTAGTATCATATTGCACTGCCTCATCATGTTGTTAATGGGCGAGCAGTCTGTCTCACAAATAGAAAAAAACAGCCCTCTATGACTTAACCTTAAGTTAATCTTAGGTACCAAGAATTTGATATGGTTAATCAAGAATAAGCCTTTATATTTTAAATTATTCACAATATAATATACAAATAGCATTGCTTGCATTTTTCGTCTCTGTTCCAATGTTACAAGTTTAAAAGTTTCAAGCATACTCCGGTAAGACACCAAGTATGGATACGAATTATATTTTCTAACATACAGATATCTTAAAAACCTTTTTTGTACCTTTTCAATTAAATCTATATTTACTTCTGCACGGGGTGCCCAAACTACAGAAGCATACTCAAGATGTGGTCTTACCAAGGAATTATATAGTTTAATTATGCTATCTATCATCTTAAAATGTTTTGTGTTTCTAATTATAAATCCTAACATCCTAAAAGCCTTATTAGTAACAATGTGATAGTGATCATTAAAGTGCAAGCTTTGCTGAAAATTCACACCAAGATCTTTACACACAGATTTTCTGGGCAATTCTCTATTATTGATACAATAAACCATTTTAATAAAGTTCCTGTTACGTGTGAAGGTCATAACTGAACACTTGTCAATATTTAGATCCATTCTATTTATCTGAAACCAATTAGATACTGTATTCAAATCTAGTTGTAATAGTTGGCAATCACATTGATCTTCTACAACTCTAAACATCTTAAAGTCATCTGCAAACATTAAACAAGTGGAAAATTTGAGACAACTAGAAAGATCATTTATAAAGCAAGCAAATAAGAGTGGTCCCAGGTTGCTGCCCTGAGGAACTCCAGAAGTTACGGAATATTCCTCTGAGAAAGAATTACCAACTCTAACTTGCTGACTTCTATCTGCTAGGTACGAATTCAAAAATGTTAATGCGTTAATAGAAAGGCCAAAGGTGCCCAGTTTTTCTAGTAATAAACCATGATCAACCCTATCAAATGCTTTTGCACAATCAGTGAAGATTACATCCATTTGCCTCTTAGTATTTATGGCATCTGCAGTAGATTGCGTGAAAATACACAAATTTGTAAGTGTTGATCTATCTGGTAGAAATCCATGTTGATATTGATTAAAAGATTTGATAAAATGTTGTAATAAGTTGTTATATAAAATAGATTCAAATATTTTTGCCAAAGAATTTAAAATACTAATTGGTCTGTAATTTTTTACATCATTAATATTACCAGATTTAAAAATAGGAACTGTAATGGTATCTTTTAATTTTTTAGGAAAGGTTTTAGTTTTTAAAGCTAGATTAAATATTACCTGTAATGGTTCAACAAGTTGGTCAATACACCCCTTATAGATATAAGCAGGTAGATTATCTTTACCTGTACATTTCTTGGGTTTTAACTTTTTTACACTAGCTCTAATGTCTTCTTCAGTTATCTCATCAAACTCTAGAATACCATAAAACTTAGGTATCTTCATATCAGATGAGATGCTATAGACTGACTTAAAGTATATTGCAAAAGCATTAGAAACTTCATCAGAACCAGTGTAAATATTGTTGTCTAAATTAATTTCTGATGGTAAACCCCTGGAACTACTTCTGGATTTCACAAATGACCAAAAACTAGTTGGGTCCATGTTAACATTTGTTTCTACAGTGTCATGATATTTTATATACTCAGATTTTGTTTGTATTTTAATGGACTTCCTAAGACAGTTGTACTCATTCTGGATTTTGATATTAACATGTTCACCCTGCACTTGCCTATGTAGCTTGTTTTTCTTTTTGATTTTACAAATTAAATCTTTAGAAAAATATTTAGGAAAACTGTATTTACTATAACTATTGTTAGATTTTTGTCTTTTAGGTACTGCTTGTTCAATACATTCAAACATTTTATCATAGAAGGTTTGTATAGCAATATTTACATCATTGGAATGTTTTAATCCACCCCAGTTTATTGATCTAATTAGATTATACAACAGCAGAAAATCGCCCCTAGAGTAATCATATTCAAAAGATGAGTGAATTTTATGTTTATCGCTGTTGAGACCTTTGAGCTGCACTTTTAAGTTAAGAGAAGGATGGTAGTTATCCTCATGAACAAATGGATCACTACTTCTAGCACAAACTACATGAACATTGGATAGCACTAAATCTAACTTTCTACCCATATAATTTACTACTGAATTTATTTGACATAGACCACATATACTTAAAAACTGATTCAGTCTCAAGCTTTTCTCACATGTGCCTAATACATAATTAGGTATATTAAAATCTCCAACAATAAAGACATCTACATTATCACAAACAATATTTTCAACATTTACTAAAAAGTTATTAAAAACTAACATAGAAACAGAAGGTGGAATATACACACATATTAATAATAAATTACATTTGTGGTATTTTATTTTTACTACTAAACATTCAATTTCACTGTTAGTGTTAAAATTAATGTGTTCAAATACTATATTTTTCTTAACTGCAATAATCAACCCACCTCCACGAGTTTTATTGTTATCTCTATCTCTTCTTGCTACATTATACCGATTGTCAAACAGCTCACCATCCAGGATACTAGTATTTAACCATGATTCAGTAATTAAAATAATATCATGGTCACAAGACAACACACTAGTATAAAAGTCATGTACTTTAGTTCTTAAACCACGAACATTCTGATAATATAAATCTAGGTTAAGGGATTTAAAAGAGGTTTGCAGCTTGCTACTTACAGGACTGTTTGTGCTAATAACCTTTACATTTCTATCTGGTTTTTCTAGTTTGTCTGGGTTTACTTGATTGTTTAGTTTGAAGGATCCATTGTTACATTCATCGGTGCTGGCATCCTTTTTCTGGCAAAAAATTTAGAAACTAGTGATCCACTTGGCCAAACATCTCTCTGCCAAGCTCTCCTGAAATTTGACTGGTTAATAGTTACCTTAAAGGATGCATAAGCCTCTGGGTATTTTGATTGATGGTTTTCACATTTGGCTTCTGGAAAGTGTTGCTTTACCATCAATTCAAAATCTTCCAATTTAGTGTCAGGTGTTAATCTTGTTACGTGCAAGGATACAGACTTGGGAATACTTGTTATATTAGGGTTATTGTTGTTTGTCCCAACAACGAATGCTTTATTTCTGCGCCTTCTCTGCTTTTGCCATCCTGTTTCTTCATCTTCAGAGACAAGGTTTTGAAAGGAAAACATTTTCTGGGCAGTTTCTGCTTCGTGAACTGCAGTCCTAACTTGCTGTATATTAACAATATTAGCATTAGCACTTTCATTTTCATATTCTTTACCTTTGTTTTTGGTTATATTTACTTTTGCTATAGGTGGAGCCTGCCCAGTCGTTGTCTGAATTTTGACACGTGATTTTGGATCATTTAACCTACTATCGCTTGAACTACTTGCCACGTCTCGCCAGGTCGAATGAGATTTTACATTGACTTGCGGTGTTGCCATCTCCTTTAAATTTTCTTTGGATGTGGTTTTCTCGCCAATATAACCTATATTTTGTTGGGTAAACATTATTTTTTCTTCTAAAAATTTAATTTTTTCTTTTTAAAAGATATGAATTCTCTTCAAGAATTATATTTTTGCTTTTCATTTCATCAATCAACATCCTCAATAATTTAATTTCGTTGTCTCTAGGATCAACAACTATGGAATCAGAGTACTCACATGTTTCTTCATTGCTTTCTTGTTTTTCACTTTTTAGGCTTTGATTGTCGCAACACTTTTTTGCTGGTTTATTTGCACAACCATCATGGTAAAATTTTTCACAATTTAGACACTTAACTCTGGCGTTTACCGCCGTTTTCTTACAATATTCACACACTACTTTTCCGGTTTGTTTACTACCGGCCATCTTGGATGGATGTTTATATTTGATTATATTTGAAATAAACGTGGAATTTTTCCAAGGTAATCGACTACGTGTATTGTCCAAATCATTCACGTGCGTTTTTGTGTTTCAGTACCAAGTGGCTCAACTATTCAGCGTAGCAGAGGCTTCCAAAGACAACACTGGCGGCGGAGAGGGGATAGAAGTATTGAAAAATGAACCCTTCACGAATTTTCCCTTACTCGGGGGTAAATACACTAGCGGACAGTACACTTACAAAATTTACCATTTGGCCAGCAAAGTACCGGCGTTCATAAGGCTCCTGGCACCGAAGGGTAGTTTGGAGATACACGAAGAGGCTTGGAATGCTTATCCCTATTGTAGGACAGTCATTACGGTATGTTTTTAAATTTTTTTTAAGTAACGTGTCTGTATCGTTAAGTACACTATTTATTATCTTAATACAATTATCAACAATCATAATACAATTTTAATATCCAGCAATTTTGTTTTCTCTTCTTCTTCATCTTAATTTAGGACCAAGTCCTGTTCATCCTTACAACTAAATCTTTCGATTTCGATGTCCAGCTCTCGTACCATCGTCTTGAAGGTCTCCCAGGTGGTCTCGATGTATTGGGTTTTTCAGACAATCCAATTTTTGCTAGCCTATCATCGTCCATTCTACTGTTGTGGTCATTCCACTCCCTGCGACTCTGTCTAACTTATTACGGACTTATTAATTCCTTTTTCAGTTCCTAAGAATGTAATCAGCAATGGATCTCAGCAGTATCATTTCAGTTGTCCTTAGGAGCGTCTTGGTTGTAGCTGTTTCTTCTTTGGTCTCGATCGCATATGTTATTACTGGTTTTAACAGATCTTATATATTCTCACTTTCCTTCCGATGCTCATGTGATTGTTTCTCCAGATATTGTCATGTAATTATCCAGATATCATTGCTTCTGTTAGCAATGAGACCTCAATTATAGACTAATAGAATTAGACCTCAATGAGAAAGTTATTAACTTTCTCATTGAGGTCTCTGCTACTGGTTTGTCGCCAGTTTATATCTTTTATGTTCTCTGTGAATCCTGAGTGACTCTGTCTTCTCAATAGATATAACCCTATTAATTTTTTCTGCAATGTTTTGGTACCTGTATACTAATCGTTGTTTCCGATTTTGTAACCTCTTCCTGTTGTTTTAACTTCCTTTATGATCTCGTTTATTACCAAATTGGAGAGAATTGGACTCATGCTGTCTCCATGTCTGTATAGGTATCTTCATTTGTTTCATGACTGACTGAATCCCGGGATATATATTTCTAAATTTTAACAGTTAAAGGACATCTGCAAGTCTTACTCTGTCAAACGTCTTCTTAAAGTCCACGAAGCACATTTAAGCAGTTTTCTTCAATTCAATTGCCTTTTCTTCCACTGTCTGGCAGATACTAAAAATAGAGTACATAGAGTTCATAGAGGTTACATTCCACGCTGCAACTCACAATGGTTTGATTTTTCCCCTGTTCAGTTTAATTTGCATGTTAGACTATTTGGAGTAATTCAACTAGAATTCAAACGAAATATTTCAGCATTTTTGTTATTCTGTTGTATTTAAAATATACTCCTTCTCTGTACTTTATCATTTGTAAGGTCGAAGTGATGTGATATTCCGTTGAGTACTGTTAATCATTCATCTCTTCCTTGTGCTAGTTGTTCTGTCATGGAACGAATTAAATCAATATGTCGCGCATTAGTCACCAAAGGATATACCGGCCCATTTTCGAGTTTTATCTATTTGGGAATTATAATCCCTTGAATCAAGATTTCGTTCAAGATAAGTAGAACTTTTATTGTCAAAATTAAAGAAAAATGTAACATTCTTTCACTTTTATTTGTTGGCCTTTGGCACTCTTTTTTTCTTCAAAAATTTTAACGTACAGGCAAGCTGTTAAGTTGTCAAGTATTTTATTAATTAACTTTGAGTTATACTTGTGTTATACATGTTACTTTGTACTTTTTATTAAAGTTACACAAGAATACGCACAAATCCCTCTGACAGCTGAGCTGGAGCATACATTACATCATACATTATTACAGATTGGTGTCCAACGTGGGGCTCGGCATTACACAATGAAGGCATGTTATGTTAAGTTGTGTTTCTTCTTCACTAGATCGAAATGTAAATTTATAACAAGATACGGGAAGAATGTAATTCTAACTCTATTGTTGTTTTCAATTTCACAGGTTGTTACAATTTTTTAGAATAATCTACTAAAAAACTGATACACATGGAATGATAAAAAGGTTTGTGTGCGAGCATGTACAGTAAATATCATAGAAAAACATGCTTATATGGAAAAGCATGCAGTCGTTTTAAAAAACATAATTAAAGGAGACAAGTTGTTTTCACACTTTTCACTAAAAATATAGTTTTAATAATAATTTGGTTACTTTCGGATGATGCGACAATTTTGAAAAGTATATTTTAGTAAAGCAGTATAATTAATTTAAGGATTGTACTAGTATTAGAAAAATTTAATGTAGTTGATATCTTGATAACACGCTTCAACAATCTTCTTTTCATTAAAGTTTTTTTTGTACCTAATTTTATAATGTTTCTGTTTATTTAGCGCCAGATAATAACTGTTCATTGTATCAATTTGTTTCCTGCTTCGTATTTTGAGCCACGAGTACTGTCTCGTGTACAAATTTGTGACGTATATTGTTTATTTCTACAGCTGGTTCGTATACAGCTATTTAAAGATATATAAGGATATACAGATATAAATAATAAGTAATAAATCAATAAATCAAGTATTGACAATAATACTTTGAGCTAATAAAGTGAAAAGTTTACCTACTTGTTTAACATTTAATTTATATCAATCAAATTAATAATGACTGTTAATTTGATAACCATTATGATGTGTCAGTGTACACGAATAGTCACTTTAAATAAACATGAAATTATTGTAGAAAACTATGAAATGTTATCGGAAATGTTATCACCTTAGAAACTAGACGTTTACCTTGATGTTTTTCAAAATTTTTAACACAATTTCAATATGAAAAGTAATATAAATTAAGGTTGTGTTGACATTGAACATGAAGTTATACGGGCGTTATAAACACTAATGATGTCCCTAAGCAAGGTGAAAATTCTTGGCCAATGCGTAAATAGGATTGTTACAAACGAAATTTATTGTTATGTTGGCACGCGTATTGCAGAAGCTAACACCGAATACGTTTTTAACCAGATAAGTAGTCTGGTTTGTTTATGGTATGTTTTTGATAAAATAAATATATTTGATCATATCCGCAGCGAAATCTAAGCGTGGTCATACATCAATTAAAGATGATCCGCTGGAAGGTCAGTTAAACAAATATAAGGAACAGAACACAGCAAAAATAGATAAAACATTAAGTCTCTCAACAATGTGTATGATGTTTTGAGAAAGTTAGAAAGGTTACAATAGATGAAACTTTGGTTAATCACGTTACTTTGTATTAAAGAGATTCTTTTAATTGCTTTCGGCCAAAGGATCAAACAAGTAATGGAGAATACTCGCTTATCTTTCCCGATAAGCTAAATTACAAAGTCATCATCATTCTGTCTTTACAACCATGCGTGGGCCAAAGAATTTCTCTTCAGTCTCCCTATCCAGCGCCTTTCTCCGCCAAGCACTATTCCCGTATTTCTCATGTCTTCATCGATGTCCTTTTTTTTATGAGGGGGGGGGGGTGATCCAAATGTTCGAAACATACCTCGGTCGCCATCGTGGCCACGATGATATCCGAGGCCGTGCGCTATGGACACCATCGCCATCAATGCCACCAGAGACCTACCTGCTAAAAAACCTCTCCAGACACCCTCCTCAGCGGTGAATTACCGGCCGGATCGCCCGGCCGGTAATTGGGACGCAACATCGGCACGCCACTCTTTCATTCACGCACAATTCTCACGCACTCTAGCACTTTCTCACTACGACGGAATTCTTCTCTCCCTCTATCCATCCCTATTCATGTTAAATCACATCATCATCATCTTTGGCTCGACAATCCTCTGTGGATCTTGGCCTGCTCTAAGATTCGTCACCATTCTGTTCGGTTTTTGGCAACATGTTGCCATCTTCTGATTTTTATTATTCGTAAGTCGGTTTCTACTCCATCTAACCACCTAATTCGCGGTCGACCATTGCTTCTTTTTCCTACAGATGTTCCTGTGGTTAGCTTTTTAGCAATGGTGTTTTCTGGTATTCGTATTATGTGTCCAGCCCATCTAAGTCGCTATGTTTTAATGAACGTTATGACATCTGGCTCATCAAAGAGCTGATACAATTCAAAATTATATCTTCTGCGTCACTGCCCTTGGTCGTTTACAGCTCCAAATATTTTGCGGAGTATTTTACGCTCAAATATTCCCAAAAGTCTTTCATCTTTCTGCGTTAGAGTCCATGTTTCTGCTCCATATGTGAAGACCGGCCTCAGCAATGTTTTGTATATAATAATTTAGTTCTTCTTTGAATGTTTCTTGAGTGGAAATGCTTTTGGAGTCCATAGTATGCTCTATTTGTAAGATTTATTCGTCTTTTGATTTCTTCGCTTGTTTTATTGGTAGCAGTCAATAGCGACCCAAGGTATGTGAAGTTGTCAACACGTCCAAAGGTATGACTTCCAAAGACTGTTTCTCGTTCCTCATTCTAGGAGATATGGCTCAACATCTCGCTTGCTACGCCCTACTGTGTCAATGTCATCAGCATATGCTAAGACTTGTATCGATCTATTGTAAATAGTACCGCCATCCCTAATTCGTGTATCTCGGACTGCCTTTTCTAAGGCAATATTAAATAGGAGGCAAGCCAGAGCATCTCCTTGTCTGAGTCCATCCTTTATCTCAAAGGATCTAGAACTCTCTCCCTGTATTCTAACAGTGGCTTCTAAGTTAGACATTGTCATTCTCGTTAGTCGGATAAGTTTCTCTGGTATACCAAACTCATGCATTGATTGGTATAGCACTGTTCTCTTGACACTGTCGTATGCGGCCTTGAAGTCGACGAATAGGTGATGGGTTTCAATATTGAATTCTAATGTTTTCTCGAGAATCTGTCTTATTGAATGAATCTGGTCAATTGTTGATTTTTCTGGAGTGAATCCAACTTGATATTTACCAACTATGCCCACTGTGTAAACTTGCAACCTTTCGTAGAGAATATTTGCTAGTATTTTGTAAGCAGTTGTTGTATAACAGGGTTATACCTCTATAGTTGTCACACTGGAGCTGGTCACCTTTTTATGTAACGGGCATATCACGCCTTGAGACCATTCAAAAGGCATGGTCTCATTATGCCAAACAAGAAGTAAAAGCTTATACACTGTCTGTAGTAGGGTATCGCCACCATT